CACACACACACACACACACACACGCACACACACACATACACAAACACCTAAAAAACAAACAAAAAGCAATAAACAACAATAATAAATAAATGAACAAATAAACAAACTGAAAAGAGAAATCAAATCAAACGAAAATAGAAGTCAAACCAATTCCACAACCCAATGACCCAACCTTTTGCCATCGGAAAAGAAACCCACATAAGCAGCAGTGAACTTACATGAACCTTCAGCCATGTCATCGCACTCTATAATATCCCATTCCGTCACATGGAAGGTGGGTAATTCCACGCCGGACTTGATAACCACTGGCGTGGGTTGCATCCACACGTAGCTCACAGTGTGACTTGTGTAACCATCTGGGTGAGATAGTATGGTATGGTTTGGGATGGTATGATAAGGTATGGTATGGTATGGTATGGTATGGTATGACATGGTATGGTATGGTATGGTATGGTAAGATATGATATGGTATGGCATGATATGGTATGGTATGGCACGGTATGGTATGGCATGGTAAGTTACTATGTCATGGCATATGGTATGGTATGGTATGGTATGGTATGGTATGGTATGGTATGGTATGGCATGGTATGGTATGGTATGGTATATGGTATGGTGTGGTATGCCATAGCATAATATTTTGGCATGGCATGGTATGGTATGGTATGGTACTATGCCATAGCATATTTTGGCATGGTATGGTATTATGTCATAGCAAATTATGGTATGGGCATGGTATGATATGGTATGGTGTGTTATGGTATGGTATTTTGTTTTGTTTTGGTATGTGCTTTACGGCCCTTACGACTGCATAAGGTCATATGAGCATGCAGGACACATTAACACATTTTCAGTTGGTAGGACATTTAGAATTTTACCCGGGTGGCGGCCGAAGCCTACTCTTATCGATTTGGGGCCTCCAGGGGATCTTTAACATGCGCAACTTTCACTGAGGACCTGAGAGATTTTTTGCCCTTCTCCGTTAAGGCTAGGTGTTAGATCTTACCTGCCACAGGATCAGGAGTGTGGCTGAAAGACAGCTGTAAGAAGGAGACAAAGAGTAAAACAGTTGAAAGGCTGCAGAAAGAGTCAGGAGCCCAGAGGAGTGGTTAAAGGGAGGGGGAGAATTCAGAAAGTGAAGACAAAAGCAGACGACAGAGCATAGTTAGACCTAGAGAGAAGGAAAAAGGGTGAAAGGAGATGGTATGGTATGGTATGGTATGGTATGGTATGGTATGGTATGGTATGGTATGGAGATCATAAAACGAATCTATCCATCTCATGAACCTAGTTTCAAACTGACGCTTCCTACGAAAGCCATGATAATTTCAAACGGAGACGAAATTGCATTTGAAATAAACCCCAGGCAAAAGTGGAAAAAAGAGACAAGATAAAAGATAACGATCAGATAATCTTGCAGAATGTGAAATAAAAAATAAGTAGAATAGAACAAGTATTCATACATCTTGAAAAGAGTACTTTAAGGTTTAGTGAACGTTTGTCTGATTTAGAAGATTTTCAAAGTTCAATATTGTTGAAAGCTGGCGAGTTTTGTGTGTGTTTATTTGTTTCTTTGTTTTTTTTGGGGGGTGCGGGTTGTTTTGGGGTCTTTTGGGGGGGGGGGGGCATTTGTATAATATAGTTCTCAGTATAGGCACGAAAGCTCAAAAGAAAGTGTTAAAAATATATCTAACTCAACCTGTCAATGGGAATGATGAGAGGTTGGGTTTTTCCTCTGCTGTCAATAGTGCTTGCAATATCCGAGGTGCTCATTATGCACTGAAGTCGTTATTACTTTCAAAATCCGATTATCATCTACAACTAATTTTTAAATTGATGAATGGTGAAGCGTCGTAATAAAATCAGGCACTCGTCAAAATACTGAATTCGAAGAATTCGGCATTATCCCCGGTTTGGTAATTTTTATACCCCACATTTTTCAATCGCAAATATCTTGACTTCTTGACTTCTTAGCCTATTCAAGATAAGTGGGTATTATCGAATGCAAGACAAATGAACAAACTGCCGATGTCGCCACATGCCCACAAATTGACGAGAGCCTGGTTCCACTGCATCATGACACATATTCATTTGACTATTTCCATAGTCAAAAAAATTATTTTTTGGTGTTAGTTCTCATTCAAATGCAAGCGTTGACTATTGTGATTTTAATCGGGCAATAGTACACTTCACTTACAGCTGGCGATAACGAGAGGGCATTTCTGTCGGTCGAATGGATACTTTTCCAGGTTCATATGGCAGGTCAAGGTCATTGAGATTCTGAAAAAAATTATTAATAGTAAATTTTCTCGCCGGCAACTTGGCGTATCCTGTGAAACATCTCTCAAACAAAATCTATAAGAGATAAGATTTGATAAGGTACATCTATATTGTCCAGATCCTGGGACATTGCTTTGGTGTTTCACCACACACACACACACACACACACACACACACACACACACACACACACACAAACACAAACACATGTACACACATATACACAAACATGCACACACGCATACGCACGCGCCTGTGCACACCCATATACACACAAACGCTCTCTCACAAATCTTCTCTTCCAAACTCATCTGTGCATATAACCATAATAATACGTACAATAGTATATTTGTTCTCACAAACAGGCTTACAGTCACATGCATGATATAAATGAACAGTAATTATAAACATTTATAGTGTTGAGCAAGGTACGTAGATCTACTCCGTAATCTGATTATAACTCAATGGTATTCTGATATTGCATTCTTTGAATAACCAATATTCCATTTTTACTTGGGAGTCAAACGCAATGTTATCCAAAAGAAAGAACTGAGAACGACTAAAAGGCACTCTTAAAATATTGATATCCAGCGTTATTAAAAAAAGGCTGACAGCCAATTCAATGGGTATTGCATATTCATACGTTTCCAAAAAGTTTAAACGAAAAAGAAAAACCTGTTCGATACGGAGACCACATTACAATGAGCATACTCCCTAAATCTCAATAACATTATGATTTCGACATTGAAGTTATTCCGATTAGCCTTAGAATATTTTACATCAAGCATAAAGAATACTTGGTAAAAGTAAATTTCAACCCCCTAGGGTGATTGGGATTGACATGGGTGTGCAAAAACCTCTATTTACTAAAAAGGAGACAGTGTATTACTTTGATTTCATTTGAGTCTTGTTCATAAATGGTGTAGGTACAGATAGGGGGCAGAAACAAAAGTACAGTGAAATCTTGATGTTTCATGACATCAAAGTATTCTGATACCTTAATAAACAATCCCGCACGACATCACACACGGCGACCCAAACGGTGACCTCACGGAGAATGGAGACGCCGTACATGTGCATACTAGGTGAACAAGGTAAGTTTGGAATGATATGATAAAACTCACTCCGAATACTTGACTACATACCTCATGCTATAAAAAACTGTACCATTTGAGAAAATGTGAAGTAATTTGTTTGGAACCGTAACATCGTGAACGTCTGCTTTTCTTTCATTGGCGAAGAACGTGTCTGGGTGCCATACCTGGAGGAGGAACAGTGGAAAGGATGGAGGAGGAAGGAGGAAGAGGGGAGGAGGAGGGGAGAGGGGGAAGGAGGGGAGAGGAGGGGGAGGGGAGAGGACGGGGAGGGGAGAAGGAGGTGAGAGAAGAGGAGGTGGGGAAGGGAATTAAAACAAAACATTAGTCGTTTAATTTACCTGCTAAGTCTGAACGCAACACAGGTGTTCAGTTGAGCGTTTTAACATCAGGTCTTGCTTTGTTTTTTGAGAAATTTTGAGGAAAACCTCTATCAAGCGCTCACTCTCACTGTCTGTCTGTCTGTCTGTCTGTCTGTCTGTCTGTCTGTCTGTCTGTCTCTCTCTCTCTCTCTCTCTCTCTCTCTCTCTCTCTCTCTCTCTCTCTCT